TACTAGGCAAGACAAAAATCCATATTCTATAAAGTCCTAACAAGCTGGAAACATGGCTGGACAGAGTATAGAAAAATTATAAAATGCTGTTCTTAAATGCCCAAAATTGCACCCCTCCTTAAAGCCAATTATACAAATACAGGATGTTGGACACTTGGCAAAAAAAGGAACTTAAATTTGGGGATGGAGAGAGGACAGGGATACACACAACATTTACATTTGTTAGTAAACGGACTATGAGGGAACTGGATGTGATTAGGACAATCCAGGCCCTGATGGACGGTCGTACTCTTTGGCACTAAAGGAAAAATCATACTTGCTCCCCCATCATTAAGCGTCACTAAAAGCCTGGATAAAAATGAAACATATCATTTTCTTAGACATCAAAACACACACTGGATTGTCCAGAGGAGAAAGTGACAAGCTGCCCTGACACGGGAACTAGGCCTTGATGTTTACAACTCAACAAAGACGACGTGCTCAGAATAAGAAAACAAAGACGAGACAAAGCCGCCTACGACCTGTGATGCAGCAGGACAGCCACGAGGATACCCTCCCACCACAGAAATGACCAACATCCCCTCCTCCGACCAACAAGAGTGATCACTGCTTCTTCATTAAAGACAATGACCCATCTTACTCTTCCCAACACCTAGTGAGTTGTGAAGACACCCAATTCCTGAATTGCCCTGCTTCACTGAACCCTTGTAATCACCCAGCACAAGCCCAAATCCTATAAAAAGCCTTGTCACCTGCCTCTCACCAAGACACCCACAGTCCTGAGCGCAGTGATCTCCCCTGCTGCTGCAAAACCTCTTTTGCTTGACTAACAGCTTGTTTCTGGTGGCGCCTGGCCGATGGGCTTCAACACAGGGCAATCCTGGTATTAATAATCTGCCCTGACATCAGCCTGTGGGTCTCTTTACGGCTCTGGATCAACATAACCAGGCTGCTGCCCGAGCAGCAAAAAGGGTTCGTGCATGAGAAACAAGAGTCCCAGTTTGAGATTACGGTCAACGAGTGACTGTGGCCACCAGCCACAGGGTGTGACTCCCCAAGCCACCCCATACACGCCCTTCACCTCGCTGAACACGGCTAGCAGACTGGTGGTGGAGACAGCGGAGGCGGCGGCTGCGGGTGCCACAGCTCGCATGGGTGCGTCAGCCTGGTTTCTCTCTCAGGGTTTTCCTTAGTCGACAAAAAGAAACAGCATATTCACCATAACCTAATAAATACCATTTTGGATAGGTTTCTTTTTTAGAGTTTCCATTAGTTCATGAAAAGAAACAAAATGTTCACCATAACCTAATAAATATCATTTCAGGTAGACACATATTCCCCAGTTTTAGAAACAATCATTTATGACTTTTAAAAAAATGGTTATTATAAAAACATATCCTGATTTATAAAGACCCAAAACTAAAATTTCACCCTTAAAGGCCAATTCCAGTTAAAATCAAGATACTAAATAAAAAACTGTACTAACAGCAACACATTTTTAAGCACTTACTATGTGCCTGGATTTGTGCTATTTTACAAACAATTATTATTTCATTTCATCTGTGCAACCAGCCTTTAAAAAGTAATATTTCCATTTTACAGGTGAGAAAACAGAGGTTCAAAGAGGATAGCTGATTATCCTCAGTCACAGAACTACAGGTGCCAGGACCAAGTTTTGGACCCAAATGTCTATAACATCACCAGGAAGTTCATTTTTCTCGGGTGCGAGTGTGCAAAAACATTGTTCTTGAAGCAAATATAAAATTAGATGATAATGAAAGGAGTTAAAGAAAAAAACTATAGAGCACTACTTAGAGTCTCCTCTAGTATCAGAATTTAATTTTGCCACATTGAGTTTATCTTTATTATCCCATTTACAGTCAAAGCTACCAAGAAAAAGTTAGCTTTCACAAGCTACTCTCTGTGTCAAGGAACATCCACATCTTAAGAACTTGTTGGTATATAAATTATCTGAAGGTAGCCTTGGATTTTTACAAGCTTCTCCGTTCTGAATTATCTTCTTTAAAAAAAGGAAATAATGCATGTGTGAACAATGCACGTGTGAAGAGAATTTCAATGGGAAAGCTTTATCCCTCCTCCCCAATAAATTAAATAAAAATAAAAGGACCTTTAAAAGACACTTTCACTAACAGTTCTTTTCTGAATAAAATAAACAAGAGCATAGGGCACCTTGACTATTACTTAGGAAATAAAATCAGAACACAGGGAAATCTGTAATTCTAATCACATTTACACCTTCTCTCCTTTTTTACATTTCTCATCCAAACATCCTTAGGAGCTCAATAGGCTTAAAAGAATTGGAGCAGGGTAGAGAACAAAGGTGAGGGGAATCTGAGAAACAGCTTAAATGGCTGTTCTCACCATTTTAATAATTTCAAATTGGGTAACATAGTTTTCGGAAGATGTAGAAGTCACAAATATAGGACAAATCTGTAAAAAGTTATTCTACCAGCTTATATTACAAAAATGGCATTTTGGACATCTCAGGAATTAACCATTAGTGGACAAAAACAAAGGCAAGAAAGCACTAAAAAAAGTTAACTTTCAAGAAAAATAAATATCAAATTTAAATGTATTGGCTGTAGTTAGTGGAAGCCTATGTCCTAAATACATACACTTGTTATAAAGAATATGTGTATCCTTATGTGAGAATGACTACTTAGATATTAACTGTGTTCTCTCCTGAGATTGAAGGTAATTTTATAAAATAAGATTCAACCACTATACTCAACCAAGCTCAATGATGTAGATCATATATAAATACAAAAATAAAGAAAAGCTTTTATAAACCATGTTATATGTGTGGTTTACTCAACTGGAGAATGAGAGATTTTCTTTTTAGTGGAAAGAAGAAAGACATCAATGTTAAAAGAAACAGTTTAATATTTCATTTAATTATTCAAATAAAAAATGACCAACAGTACAGAGACAAGAAAAATTCAGAATTATATCAAATTCAGATGTGAGAGCCCATTATGGGGTAATTCTGATTCAAAATAATACTTTGATGTGACTTTCTCTTAATGCAAATATCAAAGGAATTCAGCACTTCTTTTCATCAGCACCACTGATGTCTGAGAGTGCAGCCCTGCCTGGGCCCCTTCAGTAGGGGCTGTTATTATGCCTCCACCACCTTAAGCCACAGAGAAAGGTATTAGCAACGGGAAAATGATCCAGAAGAATGTCTTAGGAAAGAATCTGCCTGCCAGCCTGGCTCTTTTTGTGTGTCACGTGTATCAAACACAAATAAGTATAGCCATTCCTTTCTCAGTAGGGAAGAGCTTCAGTTTCAGTAAAATGTTTTGCCAGTGATTGATACTCTGCAAAGTTCCTCTTCAAAAGAAATGAAACACACACAAGGTTCCAGAAACGTAATACCGTCTAGTCATTGTGTTGCATTTAGCAGGTACCAAAAATGCTGAGATATGAGAGGGGAGGTGAAATCAAGGCCTTACTTTCAACATTTACCAAACATACCAACCAAAATCATGGTATCTGGGGGCCAAAATCTAATCATTCAGATGAGGATTTCACAGCTCAATGCCTTCACCATGTCCCCCTCCCCAACACACATACTCACTTTAGCTGCATCAGCTACTGATAAGTGAGGTTTATTTTTTAATGAAAAGAATGCACTGAAATAAGAAAACAGATTTACAACGCGGTGGTATTATTTGAGGACAGAACTGCACTAAGCTGAGAATATCCAACTATGTTGTTTCCAGCAGTATAGAAAAAGTGCCTAGTACCAAACAGGTATTCCAATAATTACTCGCCTTTTTCTTTAAAAGACTAATCACGTAAATTAAAATAGGTGCAGTGTTCCCAAAAGCCCAGATTTTCCTTGTGGGGTGACTCCAGAATTGAGCTGACAACCAGCAAAGAAATCAAGCAAAACAGCTACAGCTCCATAGAGCTAAGACTTGCACGTCTCCTCACCCTAAAAACTCAAGCAGAAGATGGTTTCAGACCCAAGCATCCTCCACAAGTTCTTTGTTTAACCAATAAGCTGACAGCATTTGTTAGTGTGTTGGCCTCATTATCAGGTGCACTGCTCCAGTAAGATCTTAGCTCCAGACACCTGCTGTTGCGTCCGACAGCTAAGCCCTATTCTTCCAGACCAAATGAATGTAAACTGGAAATTCCGCCCGCAGAAGGAAATTTGACCAGTGGGGGCGAGGAGCACCGGGTAAAGGTGCAGGCACAAGCGCTTACAAGAAGCAGAATCTACACCGGCCACACGCCCTGAATTCTTTCCCCTTCAATCTCTGGTAGATCTCATCCACGTTAAGTGGTTCCCCCAATACATTCCGTTTGACTGTCTATTGCCGTCACATATTCAAGGCGTGGAGACTAGAGACATACTGGGCAGTTAGAGTTCCTGAAAAGGAGGGCTTGGTACCAGGGCTCTGAGGGGCGACTAAGGGTCACGCCAGCGTGAGTGTACGGGCTCCGAGTTCTAATGACAGAGGAGAAGGGCTGCTCTTGTAAATGCCCCATCCTCCAGCAAAGGAGGATAACGCAGGTTTGTGATTCTACTATCAAACTTGGAGCGACCAACCCAACTCTCTCCGTCCACCGTACGAGAAAGCAGCAAACCGAGGCCCTCCGGCGGGGCACTGGGGAAGTTCCCACTCGGAAGAGAAACGCGGTGGAGGCCGCGCTGTGCCCAGCTGTCAGCTTTACTGGCCTCTACCAACGCATCCGCCGAGACTAAGGGAGCCGGGCGGAAGGCAAACGCCCAGACCGCGGCTCAGCCGCAGGCATAATCAGACAGAGTCCCCGGAGCTGCGCTGCGCTCTGGATGTCCACACCGCACTTCTCCACTGGCCTCCCCGGGATTCACCTGCGCGGCCAAGGGGCTCAAAAGTCATCCGAAAAGCCATCCTCAGAACCTGGGGAAGAACGCAGGGCTGGCGCTCTGGACGCCCCAGCCCGCGCCCAGGCGCACAGCCCAGAGCCGACCATCCGCGCCTTACCTGCCCGCGGCGAATCCGGCAGCCCCTTGACGGGCCCCACCAGGCGCCACTGGAAAAGTTTCCGAACTTCTTCGCAGCTCTGCATTCCCTCGCTTCGGGTAAAACCAACGAGAGCCAGGAGGAGGAGACAGCGATGGCCCATACGCCAGGTCTGTGCGTCCATCATCGGTGTCCTGGTCACTCCTTCCCCAGCCGTGGCCCTCACTCTCCCCGCGCGCCCTGCGCTGCAGGCGCTGGAGAAGGCTCGGCGGTCGAGGTTCCAAGAGGTGCGATCTGGCGGCGGGCGGGAGTCCGCCTGCTCTGGGACTCCAGCTGCACCTGCGTGCACCTGGCTTTCTCTGGAGGTGCCACGAGGCTGAAACACCAGAGTTCTCGGGCAGAGCGCCGCCGGGTCTCCCTCTCCCGCGGGGGCCAGACGGTGCTGCAGGAGCGAGGAAAACGACTGGAGCTACGCGGAGCCCGTGAGCAACCGACTCTGGCCACCGCCGCCGTTGCCGCGGGCTTGGCTCGAAGCTGCCAACCTGGGACGCGCCCGCCGGTC